AGCAGGAGGAGGAGGAGTAGTAGTAGTAGTAGTAGTCGTAGTGGTAGTGGTAGTGGCAGTGGCAGTGGCAGTGGTAGTGGTAGTCGTCGTAGTAGTAGTAGTAGTAGTAGTAGTAGTAGTAGTAGTAGTAGAAGCATAAGCATAAGTATATTTATCTGTTTTTAGCATTCATCTTATTACTATTATTACTGTTCTTCTTGTTGTTAATGCTGTTTTTTGTAAAGCAATAATAAAAGTTTATTACCATTATAAACATGATTATTGTTATTAAGGGTATTCAGAAGTCATTACTTTACAGCATTATGGTTATTCTTCTTATTATTATTACAATTGCTATGATTATTCTTCTGTTTCTTGTTGTTGCTCCTATCATTGTTATTGTCATTAGCAGTATTAATAATGGGTCTATTCGTCCTATTCTTTTGATTACTAGAATTACTAGAATTAACATCGCTATCATTATAATGAAAGTTACTGCTGTTATACTACTATTATTGTGAGTTGTCTTGTTCTTACAACTGACTGCCAATGCTCGGCCGAAGACGACATCCCGCCGCCCGCGGCGTCAGCGGCATCATGCTTTGAGACCAAACATCCGAGATCACAGCTCAGACAGCGCCTCATGTGATGGGGGTTTGTGAGAGCCCTCGCCCGCAGTCGTTTGCACGATCAGGGCCGTCGCCGTGATGCGGTCAAACGCTCGAACATCAACTGGTAATGCGACAGCCGGGCCCCTCATTGCACACACGCAGCCCTGGAATGGCGGAGTAAAATGGTATGGGCAAAAGCACACAGGAATCCAGGAATGGTGTCTTGCCTTACGTAATGCCACCTTCCGCGGCATCGATGTTACGTGAGGAAGTGCTGTAGGAGCTGGTGCTGTAGGAGCTCGGCGGTGCCAAAGGGTGCGGCACCATCTGCATCCGAAGGGCAGCCAGATCTCCCGGCTAACTTCCCAATCCCCGAGCTTTGCCTGGCTGGTCTGGCGGGAGGAAAAGAACAAACCTGTCAGAGCAATCTCTCCCATCCGAAGAGACAGAGATCCGCGAGAGCTGAGCTGCTGGCTGCTGGGGCTGCTGGGATGGTCAATTATACCACTGCACCTCGGCAAAAACCGCTTGTGGGGGCTCGGTCCTTCTCAGCCGCTGCCATACAGGGGCCCGTGCCGTTTCTGCTCCGACGCGCTCACGGCCATGGGTGGAAAATGTGGCAAACTCGGCGAGCGTCTCACCTGACCTGACTCTGCAAGATAAGTTGGTGACTAAATCTGTCAACATCAACTTTTGAGACGGCTGGGTTCTTAGCAGCTGCCCGGGGATGCGCACGAGGAAGAGGCGCCGCCCCTTTCCGCAGGCTGCACCGTTCATCCCCGGCTCCTGATCGTCGCTTTTGCACGGGCTGTGGATGTGCACAACATTTTTGCTCTGAGTGATGGCTGACGCGTCTCACCGGCTTAGCCCAACTCGGAGTGCAGTGGGGGCTCAGGATACGCACATGTTGGATAACCAACTTGGAAAAAAGGAAAGGGTCAGCTGTATCGAGGAAGACAGGGTAGAGCATTCATCGACTGTGGCTCAGCAACCCGTTTGCATTCTTTTTCGATTAAGCTATTTCGGTTCGTTCAAAAGCCGGGACTAGCGTCAACTCGGAAGAGCTCCCCAGAAGTCTGGTGCTGTGCATAGGCGAGCAGCGAGTAACAAAAGTTTTGTAATTTTTAGCAAAAGCCAAGCTCTTGTGCAAGGAGCCGCTCTGTACCTAAGAGGGCGCGTTTGCTCTGCTTTCTTCCCTACTTTCTCGTGAACGTCCCCTGAACCTCTCCCCTGCATTTGAGCTGCCTCTCGTCCCAGTTCCTTCCCTAACGTGTGTTCAACCTTTCCCCATTGTCGCCATCTTACGCCCAGAGTCTTTGCTCTGCTCTAGTTTTTGGTTCTCCCCTCAGGCAGCCTCGGGCCGCCGACCGTCTCTAGCAAAACGCCGCTGGCCTGGAAATTCACCCCCAAGCCCCAAGCGTGGCAAGCTACACCGAGGAGGTCCGGGCATCGATAGGTTTTCAACATCCGGTCAAGCTTTCCAAGGGGGTCCGGGCATCATTTTGGGGCGATTTCGAACATCTTGGCCGGTCTCAGGAAGTGTAAAAGGGAAACGTGCTGTCACAAGGGTTGGCGGATGATGCTCATGATGAAGGCAGGCTTAGCCATTTCCATCCACAAACCACCCAGAGCAGCCACACACGAGGCGCACGATGCTCGTTACACGCACGTCTTGGGGAGTGTTTCGTTGGGTAGGGCCGGCACTTTCCGCAAGGCCCTCAAGAAGCAAGAGTGGGTAGCAGCTGTAGAAAGGCCCTACTTCCTCCTGCCTCGAACCATGGAAACTGGCACTACCACATCCCGTACACTTACAGCCATTTCCTGGCCTGCGCAGCCCCAGGAATAACAGAGAAGCTGTGCCTGAGGCTTCGGAAAACATGTTGACTTCGCGGTACTGTCGACCAACGCATCTATTCCGTCGAAAAGGTGGGATAACTGAAACAAAGCCAGGCGGCTCCACCAAGGGTGCAATGTAGGAGGAATCTCCTGGTCGTAGGATTGTAGCACGTGAAGCCCCGAGTCTGGTGGACCACCTCGGCATGGCAGCAAAAAGAAAGGCAAATTTATTGAAAGTTCGTGTCAAACATCGACTCACATCGCCTCAGCTCGACGGCTTCGGAGCCGAAGTGGTAGACGAAAGTGTGCAGCCCACAGCTGAGACCTCGGGCCACGAAGAGGCGGAACCGAACCGCTTCGAATGCACTCAATATGCATCTCAGCTACTCTCGCCGGGGGCTGCAGACTCCAGCACCTCCATGTCGAAGGTCTTCAAGTCTGGCTGGTGCCTTCGCCGAAACCAGACGAAGTCACTTAGCGTGGCTTAGCTGCTTGGCTGCCTTCACCCGCCCCAGGCCCACCTTGTCCGGGCACCAGGAAAGAGCACGTAGCCGTTCATCCGACGTGCATGTTGCTGGCTCTTCTCTGCGTATGTCACAACAACCTGCCCATAACCATCAGTCAAGGCACAAAGCGACAGTTGAGCCGCCTACCTCCTCCTCGTCTTCAAGGGGGCTGACCAGCAAATCAGACACGCGCACATTCAGAACATCTGCGAGACTCTGAATCTCGTTGCTGCTGGCCTGACCCATTCAGAACAAGGGTTCTGCAAGGTGCAACTTCAGCCACCCTGGCCTCCGCTCCTCGAAGAAGCTCCCAAGCACGGCCTCGCCGCGGTGAGACGCAAAACAACGACAAGGCAGTTACGAAGTACCTCACTCACTCACACACACACACACACACACACGGCTTGGCGGTTTGCGGAGTGCACGGGCATCACGGGCCTTCGGCCACGCCCGGTGCCAATGCAGAGACCAATTCAGCTGGGCTCAAGCATTCTGCGGCCAGGCAACGCCTCCAGTGAGCGAATCACTGCGAACAAAGCATACACAAAATCAGATCGACACAGAATCATGACAATTCATCGCATCACCTCGTCAGCCTCGATAACTTTGTGGAACCACAAACAACTTCCTGCTTCCCTCAACCCTTCCGATGCCGTGGAACTTCAGGACACATTCCCGGGCTTCTTCTGGGTTGCCTCAGATGACATCGCAGAAGCTGGTGACACTTCTTCTGCTACTGCGGTTGGTTCCCAGGGCCGTAGGCTTGGGACGTGCAGTTGCGTATAGTGAAGCCATATGAAGCACATGAGTTGCTACTACGAGTAGCAGCAACAACAATCATCACGGACTTAAGTTCAGTCCTGCCATGTCGCATCATGCGTTCTTTACAGCATCTAGACGGTGATTATGGCTTCCGAGACTACACGGTCTTCTTGCAAGCTGCGAGAGTCACCAGCCAGCGCGGCCACCTGCTTTGCACCCACACGTGAAAGCTCGGTGAAGGCCCGACGCACGGCGCCGCCATATGTAACCTAAGGTGCGACACGAACATTGGCAGTCTCCACGAGACATTATGAGACTTCCACCCAGGCAGAGAGCATGGCTACAGCAGACTGCCACCGCACTCCAGTTTTTCAACAGCAATGAAGAATTGAGCAGTGACAGCTCCACAGCTATGAAAATTAATCATAGGGAGGTCCGATCGTGCATGAGACAGAATTCCTTGTGGCAAGAGGCCTTCAAACTGGCCAAACCACGCATCATTTTTGTCTCCAACACTCAAGGAATTCGATGCATGTCTGATGCACAGGACTCTACATCACAAGCGTCGGGTTCACACAGAGTTGATGATGGTGGTGAAAGAATCACCCTTGAGTGAAGCACCACCAACAAGGAAGCCATCGATGTTGGGCTGCTGTCCTCGGAACATGCCGGAAGCTTTTGGCGATGCCTGCGATGCCGATGTTACTGTTACCGCATAGCATGGCACATCCTTCAGCCAAGCTTCCGAGATCAGCGGCATTCTTGTCGTTCACTGAGCCTCCATATTGAATGCGGACCGAATCGCTGACCTTCCAGGAAAACTGGGACGCGCAACATGGCTCGTTGATCTGCGGTGCAGGCCTTCTCGGACACGTTGTCCGTCAGCCATTTTCGGATGTAAGCGTGGGTCTCTTCGGCCTAGCAGGTAAGGGATGCTTCGAGCTGCTATGGGCGATGGAAGATTATTATGGTATTTGAAGCCCTCCCTGCCTGCTCAGGAGTGGCCACCTTTCCGGTGCCAATTGCCCAGACCGGCTCGTATGCCAGCACCACCTTCTCCCAGTCCTCCTGGAAAGGCATGGCCGTTCCAGACGACACTTATCACTTGGGTTGTTGCAGACTCTCCTCAGAGAGCACATCTGCCAAAGGCTTCAGCTGCTCGTCCAGCACTTCGAAAGTCTTTCCACCCTGAATGCTGCACTGAATTTCGTTCGGTGCCACAAGGCTGTAATTAACCAGACAACGAAGTGTTGGCGGGCGGATCGCCTCGCGGGCATCAAGCTTCTCACCTGAGAACTCGGCTCTCCCAGTTCTCCATACGAGGCTATCCGAATGCTATCAGCATGCTATCCGCTATCACTGAGTCCTCATTGTCACAGACTTTCGATTCCTTTCGATGAGCTGAGGAGCCAATGCATGTAAGCGTGCTGAAGCCGTTGTCCACTGCGAACTTGGTCTTCTCGGCTACCTGGATCTGATCTTGCCAGCTGAACCGCGCACTGCTGTTGCACAAAGTTGACCGGGTGGCAGGCGATCTGGCTTGTTTCACCGCAGTTCTCCCTGCGCTCGCTGTGGCCGAGAACCACCCACTTGATGCCCATGTCAGCGAGCATCTGTGCAGGAATCTCACCTGGCGAGCACAATGCAGTGCATGAGAAACACTCCAGACGGAGCTGCAACGGCAGATCGCTTGCCCACCTGTCCATGCACCTGGATCTTTGTCCCAAAGGTTCTGTGCGGCCACGGCAAAGTCCTTGCGCAGGCTGCCCTGCACCTGACAATTCCAGTCTGTCAGTCTGTCGTGACTTCAACGATCTTCAAAGTTCAACTCATCTCCAGGATTCGCTTTGTTTATTGTGGGGCGTATTCCAGCTGCATATGTTTGTGTTGCGCCTCCGAGAGGAAGACAAACGGCGGAGCGCACACGACTTCCACATCCTGCGCAGCTGCTCACAGTGCAGTGGTCACAAGCCGCAAGGCAGGACACGCTTTCGGGCTTCAGACTTGCTCAGTTTCGTTGGTCCTTGGCCGTGATGTCTCCGTCGTTCAGATCCTTGACAAGCTTCTTGACACTGTCTGGACTTCCGTTGGCCTTCCAGTTTCCACCTTAGCACCCGGGGCCACTCTGCAGCTTGGGTCAGCACATGCCAGAATGCCAGCCTTTATGTTGCCTCTGAGGCAGCCACCAACGATGAACTTTCGGCTTGCCTCCAACGCCACTCGGTCCACCCTCGCTGCACGTTTCGTTGGGCCGACGAAGGCACTCCAAAGCCCGCAGGCTGCCAATGCGAGCACGAAAAGGGCTGCACCTGCGATGGAAACGGACAGTCTGCACAGGTGTGCACCGCGCAGTGCTCTCTTGCGGCCTGGCCGACGTGACATGGCACTGGGAGGGGGCTTCAACAAGGCACTAGGGAGGAGGACTTTTGAGCAAAACTGGCAGCGGCAGCGACACGTGCTGTCGGCGAGACTCTAAAGTAAGAACTTCGAGGACACAAACAAAGGACCTGTCACCGTTCTGCGCCAAGAAGCTGCTATGATGATGGCTTCCGGACTTCCCGCACGGGCAGTGAATGAGTGTGGCACAAACGGCGAAATATAATTGCCTTCGATTCAGTGCTGCACCCACACGAGTCTTGAAAACTTGCGATCCTCCGGGGCTTCCGTAGTTCACCTCTGCGTGCCGGCGAGTTTCTATCTCCAGTGTTCATCTCCTTGCGGTGAACCCTTCCATGCCCTTAGCCCGGTTTGCAGACAGAAGTACGGAGTGACCACGTCTCTGCCATCGACCAACACGACTGCACTCACTGCACTCGCATCTGCCAAGCCTGCATTCCCCCGGCACTTCTTTACATCAGTTTCAAAGGATACCCACTTGCATCACCAGCAGATACCGGACGTGGCGGGTAACTGTCGGTGTAGTAGAAGTCCACAGGGCCAATAAAGAGAGTGGTCTGCATCATCAGATGCCTTCGACTTCGAAGCACAGAACTTAACATCTCGGCTCTTGAAGCACAGGGCAGCCCGCCCATTGTTCATTTGAACATCGGGGTCAAGCGGATCTCCAGATGCAACCTCAAGTGTACCGAGCATGCTCAACAGCGATGGGATAAACACTCTGTCTCGATGCTTTCGAGGCGCGACACGAAGCACCTAGCACAGGGCGATTGCTTGATGGGCTGCGACAGCCAGGGCATATCACGGCCTTGATCCACTCTGGCCGAAACTGGCTACAGCGGCTCATGGCAGCGTCGCGATACTGAGCAGGAGCACATGAACGAGACTTCCGGCAGTTCAAGAGATGCCGTGCTCGGCACTTGCAAGCCACCTCATAGTAGGGCGTTCTACTGCCTGTCCTGTCCTGGAGCACCACTCTATGGATCTCGTGTACTCCAATGTGCCCGTATGGAGCAGGCTCCTTTCTGTCAAGTATGCGAGCAGACGACTCCGAAGCTTCCATGGTGAAGACTCGAACTCCGGCATCGGTGTCCTGGGCCCAGAGCATCGATTACATGCTTAGACACCATGTCTCAAGCAATCCGAAGCGAAGTGTCATCTGCATCCAACCACAAGTCATTCAGCGGCACGGCATATACCTGCTCTGCTGCGTTGCTGGAACTCAGGAAAAAACACAGGATTGCAGAAGCACTGGTGGCACCTCACTCATCTTGCGCATGATATCCAGAGCGTCACTCACTTCTAGATTGCCTTTCAGCAAGCCTCGGCTCGGACAATCGTGCTTGAAGTTCCGGGCTCGCCTGTCGCCTCACTACAGTGCATGCACCTTTTCTGATGAGCCACATTCAAGCCTTTCCAAGTTGACATTGAGCTCCTCGTCAACAGCGGGTTGTGTCGTCTCTGCACTATGCTCGTGGCGGCTATGCCCCATGCTAGGCCTTGGCGACAATTGGCAGCGGCCGCTTCAGGTCATTGGCCTCACTCAGGAGGCAAGCGCCCATAGCCTGACAATCGAAAAGAAAACACGATTGGACTCCCTCACGGCCCGCTGGCAGCAAGAGGCACCTTCACTTGGGTGACGGTGTCCTCTTCCGAAAGGAACAGCGCAGTGTCATTCCACGCCCTGTGCACGATGTGAAATGCCCAAGACTTGCGAGCTTCTTGAATCTTCTTGACATCATGAGAGCCGCGATTTCTCTCGCAAGCCTCGTCAAGTCCGGCGGAGTGTTAACTTCATGCCATCCACCAAAAACCATGGCCAGGGAGATGCAGATGCCCTTGGAACACAGAATGTGGGATGTGAGTTGTTGCCTTTCCTTGAGCGGTGGATTCGAGGCGGCCTCATCGGCCATGAGTTGAAGCAGGTCGCACAAGCTGGCCCTGCCGGCGATTGGCTTGGATAGGCTTGGATGTGCCACAGGGATCTCGCAGGCTCTTTCCGTGCCTGCCGACAGGCTCAAGCCACCAGGGCAAGCTCCATGCTTGGCCGGTGCAGGACTTGTCCTCCTGCTGCATATCATGCCCTCTTGAGACACTAGAGACTGGCGTGGTCAAAACTCTTCGAACGGGCAAGCCCCTACCAGCGAAGACGATGCCCGACCGACAGCGATTCGAATGCCATCTCCAATCATGCCCAGGTATGCCGGAGATGGCATGAAAGCTCCTGGAAGAGCCGGCGAACGACTTCCTCCATAATACCTCTCCCGGATGTAGAGAACTTCACCAACCTCAGTCATTGGAGCGACCAGTCGGAAGGCAAGGACATGAGCTGGGAAGGCGAGGAAATGAGCTGCCTGCAGACAGTGTGCCCAGCAAACTCCCCGGCGCAGTCACACTCGCTCACACGCCGACCCTTGCCGATTCGCCGTATGGCGCGGTCGGGGCCAGAGCCACTGGCCGCGACCACTTCAACCTGGACTGCCCAAAGAATTCCGTTCAGCGTCCCCACCCACAAGGATGCCGGATCTCCTTGCCTCGCCTCGTTGAAGCCCTTGCTTTCCTTACCAGGAGCCGCCGCGTTGACCACCGCGGCGATACCTCCTGTGGTTTCCAGCAGCTGCCGTGCCACCTCCGGCGGAAAGGCTCAAACTTCGAGCACAAGAGACGGCAGCAGCTGAGAATGTGACGCTGTGGCGGAAGATGATGTCCCCATAACCTCGCTGAGGGCACGCATGGTCCAAATCTCGCAGTACACTTCTCGTCTTTGGAGGGACTGAAGAGCCGCTTTACTGCCTCCAGGTGGCAAACCAGCAAGGGCCCAGGTCGGACATGTGGCAGTGCAACGCGCAAGCTCTCCAGCATCCCAGTCGTTGCAAAATCGGGGCAGTCGATCCTGAAATGGGATATCACCAGAGCGGCTGCATGAGCAATTGCGCGCGCTGCTTTCGGTCCAAGGGTCAACTGGACTCCGTCGCCGAGCGAGGTCAGGTGCTCATCGAAAACATCTCCTGCCCATGCTGAAAGGGACCTGGAGAGGTTCCCTATGGTTCCCTCAAGTTACCCGCAGACCACACGAGCCTTTCCAGCCCCGGCACAGGTAGAAGCTTTCGACCCCTTGGCGACGCAGAGTCGAGATCGTGTGAGCCACCATGGACTTGCCACCGATGGAGATCAACGCCTCACCACATCAGATCGAACAGAAAACAAGAACATCGAGCAAACTGCAGATCCCACCGTCGGGAGTGCATCGGTATAGGGCACGAGGCGTGAGCCACGGCCGGCCGCCAAGATCACGGCTTGCTTCGGTCGTTCCGGATCCTAGCAATGCAACAGTCGCGATAACCAGAGATCCTCTGCTCAGCATGCTCACACCTTGGAGCCATTCAACATCGTTCCAATCGCAAAGCTAAAGGTATGAAAAGATGTCGAACGTTGGTCGGGGCACGGTTCTGCCACTTCTCTGGCTCGCTCGAGCTGGTAAGTGGTAGAGCTGCTATGCTTGAGATTGTTTTCACAGTATGCCATGTCGGTTCCTTCCCGCATGCAGAGCCAGCGCTGCAGCATTGCGCGAAACTCACAAATTAAATGAGAAAGGTGCAGACACCTCAGATTTCGGCCTGGCTGGCGCCCTAAGTTCTGTCCGCATACTCTCCTTGTCATTCTGCATGTAGGAGCCATAGGCCGGGTTCATCCTGGAGATTGCCAGTCTCTGCAAAACACAGCATTCCTCAAGCGCATTGTGCTGAGGCGCTGAAGAACCTGCCGGAGAAAGACTGCTCCAGGGTCGGGATCCTGAGACGTCTGCGCGTCAAAGGTACCAGGCCCGCGCGCGTGCGGCCTTCACCGTGTTCATCATCCATCTCTCGAGGTCGGCCTTTGGCGGCCATGGCCTCAGCGCGACTTCGGCTCTGCCGCTCCGGAGGCTCCGGAGATTGTGCGGAGGCTCCGAGGCTCGGGCTCGGAATCCGAAGTCATGTCATGTGAACTTTGCCCCAACTCTGTTGCTCGCACGCTATGCTCGCTATGCTCGCTGTTCCGCGTAGCTTTGTTATTGCATCCTCTTCAGCCACCCGCCTTTTTTGAGAAATGGGAAAGTTGGTCTGGAAATTCGGACCTGCAGTCTTGTGTCTTGCGTGGCCGGAGCAGCTCCAGAGCACGCCACAGGGCGGGCGTCAAAAGCTGAAACACTGACCCAATCCGGCCGAGGCTAATTGCAACCACTGCAGCTGGAACCTTGTCATGACTTTGCTTGACCCACACAGGACAGGGGCATTAGAAGTTGGCAAACCTGACTGAGAGCAAGCATATTATCTGCACCACTTAGATGTGATGCATGCAAAGTTCTGCAGTTTCTCCACCACTCATCTGATGCAACGCAGTCAACGGTTTTGAGGAGCCAAGAAACCAACGAAACAATTTCATGCGATTTACCGGATGACCTGACCTGACCATCAGAAGTCCCACAACACTTAGAGCTGAAAATGAAGGGACACCATTGAGGCCTAATGCCTTGTTGGAACGGCTTGCTGCCACATGGCAAGGATGCTTGTGGCACGGCATTACAACAGGAGTCAGATTGCCACTATCTTTGGAGATTTGCAGCCGCATCACCACGCATCCCCGGTGCATGGAAGCTCCATGCTAAGTATGGACTGAGGAGGATGCTTGCACCGTCCATCCTGCCTTGCTACACTTCGGACTGACCTTGTGTGCAGTCTTCCCGCTTCCCTCTGCAGGTGACCCTGCAGGCTAGGAAAAGCGGCTGAATTCAGCGAGCGAGAAAGCGGAATTCAGGCGCGCAAACTCGAGTGGAGGAGCGCTTATGAGTTACGGCTGTATTGCTGAATGAAGCCTCTGAGAGGCGTCGCCGCTCTGATTGCCCCCTCACACTCTTCAGGGCAGCATTCCAGCATAAAGCTCACAGGCTTCGGTGATGAAATCGGCTTCTCTGGCTGGAAGTCTGCATCTGCTAGCTAGCACCTTTGACGCCCCTTTGGGGCCGTCAGCACGTGCCCCTAACATCTCAAACTTAGACGTTAGCAGACACGCGCCAACGCGGGCACAGCGCGTGGGACTTGAAAATGCTCTAGGACAATCCTGTTGAGACGCGCGTCAGTGCACGCCGGTCATCATTGTTTGCTAGAGAGCCGTAACCCAAAGCAACTGCTCTGAGGATAACAGGCGCGAGATGCTTTTTGTCAGGACCTCACTTAACCAGGTGAACAAGAACAAGAACAGGAAAGCATGTTTCAGGTTCTCCGAGCTCCCAGCACCGGCCACGAAAAGCGTGACCATGCCCACGGAGTCTCCTGAAGCATCGCTTTCGGCCTCAGTTGCAGCTTGATGGATGGTCTGGCTAATTATGAAGAGGTCACCAGTATGCAACCGCCGTGCATCTACAGTATATCCCCGGTGGTCCAAGCATTAATTGGATCATTTAACCTAAAACCACCGGCTTCCATACTGCAAACCGTCCGAACACCAGATCTTCCGAACCAGGGCAGGTGCTGGTGCTGCAAAGCCCAGTCTCCACCTCAGACAGAGGGTCGGCAGAGTCGGCTGGCAGAGAAATTGCAGCTGCCACTCGCAGGGACAACGAAACCTATTACGGACACAGACGAGTAGTGAAGCAACAGACCCAGGGGCTGTGTCAGGAACCATGATGGGCGAACTGACTACATCGCTTCCATGGAGGGCAAACGTATGCTATCATCTTCCCGCTAGGACAAGTCATAAATGTAAACTTGTCTTTTCAAATGAATCGCGCTGCATGCATGAATGGGCGCATGTAAACATCGCTGCATGCAATTTGAAATACATGTGTTCGGGCGGACTGATCCGTTACCCTTTGGGGGAATTAATTCGCACACTCGGACAGCGGCCTCTTTTTCAGCCGTTGCGTAGAAACCGGTGGTCGGGTGGAAATAGGCACGATCGGAAGCAGGACGAAGTCCCGGTCTTTTTGCGGTCGGACGGGCAACAAGAAAAAAGGTGAACCCTCACAGAGCCAAGGTGAAAGATGGACAACGGACATAGGCAGTGCAGCACTAAAGTCCCAAAAGTCCAGCCGGGTGGCCCGAGGCAGTGAACGGACGGAACAGCCTCGTACACCAAGTAACCGACCCAGTTGGAGCCAAAGGCTCGTCGGTTGCCGTTGCGTCCTAATCACTACTTTCTACTAAAACAAGTCTGATCAAGCTCAGTAACGTTCCGGCGGACTGGTCCGTCACCCTTTGAGGCATACTAACATTGGGACGGTGCCTTCCTTTTGCAGCCGTTGCATAAAAACCGGTGGTTTGCGGAAACCGGACACGGTCGGAAGCATGGCGCGATCCCGGTCCTTTTGCGGCGGTCGGTCAAGATGATCGAGCCCCGCTACGCTTGACCCGGGCAAGGGAACCGCCCCAACAGATATTCAAGCAAATGGCTAAGCAGCCAAATAGCTTTCACAAGCAGCGGGTGACGGAAACAAACGAAGAGACTCTTGCCCAGAAAGCCAAGTGCAATGGACCAGAAAGCGCCCCGTATCCTGAAAGCCCAGATCGGACGGGTTGGTGCCTCGGCTGAGCGCGTCCGCAACGTCATAGGAAATTCCCAAGATATGATCCACGTGCAGGGAAATTCCCTGGCACTCTTGAAGCTAAACGAAAGCGCGGAGGTACCGCCATAGACAGGCCCTGCCGGGAAGCCGATTCCGAGGCGGAGTTATCCAAACGGAAGCCGGTGTTGGCAAGAGATGATGACACGTGAGCAGAAGAGCCCTGAGATTAACGTAAGGAAGAGTCGGATGGCAGCCAGGGAAACAGGACACACATTTTTGCACGGGAGAAAATGTTCTAAAAGAACAGCTGACAGGAATCTGCGAGACGAACGCAGCCACCCAAGCCCACCGTGGTTGAATCCGCACAGGCATTCGCAAAGGCGATGCACTCGAGTTCGAGTGGAAGCATGAGAGAGCGCAAGTCAGAGCCGGATGTAATTAAATGTAGATATACCTATATATATATATGCAAATATACATATATATATATGTAAATATACATATATATATATACATATATATATATACATATATATATATACATATATACATATTTGTATACATATATATATATATGTATATATATATACATATATACACTATATACACACTGAAATCCTTCCACATGCAAAGGACCGCACAAGAACACTCGGACAGATGCTAGACGACACAGTCCCTGTATCAGAACAGCAGCTTGATCAGCGTGACCCGCCGTGCGAGCTGGCCGGGGTCCACACGGACGGCGAAGCAGTCTGAATCCATCTGCCACCCAATCCAAAAAAAGATGCACCTTTAGACATCGGAACCTTAAGACGAAGCAGACGGATGACGATGACAGATGCCCAGGGGGACGGATGTACGGTTAAGAAGAGATATAAGAAATATGGGATGTCATCCACATAGATGGGGATGGAATGGCGAACTCTGACGGGGCGCTTCAACAAACGGAGAAGGAGCGCGGCCGTGAAAGCTCGAGACGCGTGCACACAAATTCAAGGCGGTGCATTGAAAAAGGAGACGGTTACGGTGCCGGAAGTAAAGCAAGCCGCAGTCGGAAGGACGGATGAATAGTCGCCGATGGGCTACCCTGCCACACAGCACAGACAGGAAAGCCACATGATTGCCACCAAGGCAGAGGCGAATTCAGCAGATCCAGTGAATTTGGAGATTCGCGGTCCAGACAGCCTGCCGAATGTCACAGCAGCGTGATTGCAAAGCCTGTTAAGCATGCGGGATCCACTCACAGGCTGTAGATGTAGGAGGATCGCTGCTAGGATGGCCTCGTCGGATCTCAGATGGCTAAACTCTTGGTCTATGTAGAGCTTCGCTGAGGATGCCGCGGAAGCCACTACCAATGCCGTTAGTCTCTTTGATTTCTCCGTGTTGGTCGGAGATGAAGGCAGGCAGGACCACATCATGTTCGATCTCAGCGTCGACAAAAGCACAAGCTTAGTTGCTGCTGGTGTCCTCATGGACTTCATGCTGTCGGCAAAACACTGAGCCGCTCACATCTGATCAAGAGCTTTCCTTGGACATATGGCGAGGCCAGTGATTCAACCCGAAAATGGAAGGCAAGCCATCGAGCGCATATTGAGACCAGGTGCTTCAGTATCGGAATGGGGACTCGGCAACAGTATGCCGGCCAAGATACGGCCCCCTCCACTACGGGAAGAAGGCTGCAGATGAAACCTATGATCCGAGGTTCTTGTTACGGAGCAGACCCTGGGTCACCAACATTTTCGAGCGGCAGCTTTTCTGCAGCGGACAAGTTTTCATCTTGCCACGGTGCAGCACGCCATGGGAAAACTGCTCGAGTGCCAAGGTTTTATGTCGAAGCCTAGAAAACGAAAACAGGTGCCAAGTCATAACCCCCTGAAATCCTAAAGCTCAGCAAACACGACAATCTACAACTCGAACCCGGAACATAACCGTAGCCATGTCCGATCTACTTCGTCTGCATGGAGAGCCGACTCAGGACACAACCGCCTCCGGGAGATCCTGCGGAGAAATGAAGCTTCCAGGCACTAGGCCCGCTAGGCCGCTAGGCATCAAACTTTACATGCATAGCATTGCATAGCGGCATGGCAGGCTTTGTCTGTGTGTGTGCGCGCTTCTTTGTTGGCGTGTACATGCATAGACAGCTACCTTGATGATGCATCTGCCGACTTCGTCTATTTGGAGTCTATGTCCCAATATTGGGAGATGTATTGAAGTCTGTGTTTGTGTTGTTATGCACGCGTACAGTTTTATTGCTATGTTATCCAAACATAAACCAGCACAAACATAACTTAACTACCTGTGCAGCCTGTGCGGATGTAATGTAAACATGCTCTGTATGCTGTGTTCAATACCTTCTCAGGAGGCCTTGGCAGTACATGGGCCAGCACTGGTCATGAAGGGCGAGTCTTTGAAGCACACCTCGCCAATACCGGCAGAACTAAGCAAACCGAATGAAGAATGAAGCTGGGCTTACAGTGCCGTCTTTGTTTGTTCTGAGATCTGGAGCGACCTGGTCGCAGACTTCCCACATTCAACGCAAGGCTCAAAAAAGGGGAGACTCAGCTAGCCTTCTCGTATAGCTTCTTCTTTCCAACCTTAATTGAACAAAAGGGAAAAAACATAGCTAAGAGATGCAAAGAGCTCGAACTCCAGCCTTGTTGGGTGTGGCTGCCTGCCCGTGCTCCTCATCGGGCATCTCGACCTCTGTTTGGGTTGTTTGGTTCGGTCGCAACATGCTCTTGGAGACAGCGGGCCCACCCGAGCCCCCAGCAACAACTCGTTCACCGACCTCGGCCTCCTCAGGAGCCTCGCCAGCACGGATCTGGCATCACCTGCTGCACCTTTTCCAAGTCGCCAACCTCCACGAGTGTGAGCTCTGCCAGCTCCGACTCCGCATCCTCAGGATCTGCTTTCTTCGAAGCCTGGCATGATCGCCCTCTGTCTGAGTTAGTTTGCCGGTCACCGCCCAAGAACGGGCCAGCCAGACGCAGAGCAACATGCCCTCTGAGGCCTGAGAAGGACTGCCCGCAGCTTCGCTCGGCAGCTTCGCTCGCCGAGGCACAGGCCGTTCCGGCCATCTTGCGGGCCTTCAAGTTGGACCTGCAGGCCATCAGCGACTGGCAACTTTTTCGCAACCGTTCAACCTGCTTTTCCTTACCAGGCGGCACGATCACAACCTTCTTCCCAACAACTTGGTCTGGCGCGAGAAACCTTGATCAACTGGGCCGGAGCCACGTGATTAGAAGCATGAAGATATCTCGGAAACGTGCTTGCCGATGCCGGAACAAATCTGCCGCGGAGCCTTTGCATAGATCCCTTGACAGTCCGTCCATGGCATTCTGTCAGGCAGCCTGCCGAATGCGCCTCTTCTCCCACGTCAATTTGCTCCACCAACAGCTTGTCGGAGTCTGGGTGCTTCTCGCAGCTGCCAAGCAAGGCTTCTGCAAGTGTCCTTAACCTGGCCCAGCCAGCCCCATGAACCTCTTTATCTCGCCAACCCGGAAATCAATCATCGAAACATCGCTCTGACCTTACACAAGGCTTCGTGGAGGGTGACACCACTCAGGGTCTCAGCGCTCAGGCTCTCACCCTTTCTCGCGACCTGCCAGCAATGTCTGAGAGGCCTTCCGCAGAATCGCAAGTTGCACCTGGGAGCCGCGTCGCTGCAGGATCCTGGAGTTGCATGAAACTTTCAACATGGTCACGGTGGTCACGGCCCGGCCTCCCGGCCAGCACGCCAGCGAAGCCAAGGCCGAGGCCAAACCCGCCGGGGCCAGAGCTTGGAGCCGCCTCCCGAGAATTAGGCGCCTTGAAACACCGAGCTTGCGTCAAAAAACTGACTCGACACTGCAACTGCTGCGCATTTCGCCTATGAAAAAAAAAAACCTTTGCCGACCTGCTGCGAACAACCCTGGCGAAGCTCCAGAGTGGAACTTGATGTACAGATGCCATGGAAATTGCTGCAGCAATGGGGGCCAGCAGCGAGGCACAAAGAAGAGGGGAAAGAAGTTTGGCCGCCTAAGATCCGGAAAGTTGCATAAGGCCGGTTGCAGCGTGCAGGATGCGCCGTTTTTGCGACGTTCTTCCCTTCTGCCATATCTCCTTGTTTCACGCTACCGGTTGTCGACCCACGCTCCCCTGCTCGGGACAGTCTTTCCAAACCCACAGGCGCAGCACACACAGCAAACACAGCACACACAACACGCACAGCACACACAACACAAACAACACACACACACACAACACACAAGAGACACACACACACACAACACAAACGCACACACTGCAGAACTTTGGCAAAGGGAAAAGGTCACGAAAAGCAAAGCAATCAGTCTTCTTTCTCAGCGATGCGACCTGTCCCAAGATGCTTGGTTTGGTGAGCTTGGTCCCAACCTAAAGAAGTCCTGAAGGCATGGTTCCGACGCATAACTGCGCCATGGTAAGCATGTTGTGCTTCCATGCACCTTTCCAGCCGCGAAGCTGTGCCATGAATGCTTGTTTCTTGCCAGAGTTGTCGAGATCACGTTGACGCTGCAGGCACAACAGCTCGAACCTAAAAGATTAATCTCAGAGTGAGCCGCGCAAGAACAGCATGTGCAACAGCATGCGCGGAGCTAAGCAGCTAAGCATTGGCACGCTCTTCGTCGTCCAACTTCCAAGCCCTTCCTCACCACCTGCCCGTCATACCTTCCCTGCGTTTCACGTCCCATGTCTCTCAATGATCTGAACCCACGACCACAAACACGCCTACAAAAAAGTTCAGAAAACTGTAGTGGATTGAGCCCCGAAACCATGCCAGCACACGCCCACCTGAAACACGAATTGCTGCCCACACTGAGGCGAAAACCCTGCCTTGCATCTAGAAGCAGTGGGACCCTCAACCCTCAGCTCGAAACCATGCCCTCGACCTTGCCCAACCAAAAGAGAATGTATCATTTATCTTTGATTGGATTGGAACACCTCGGCACGGCGAAAAAAGGTCCCGAGACCAAGCGGTGCGGGTGATGCGGCAAGCACCTGTCGGCATGCGTGCTGTGCTTACACTGATGTCATGCCCAGCACGCACGGGTCTGAACAAAAAGCGTACCGTCGCTACAGGACCGCTACAGACTCAGACTCCGCTGGGATACTGACGGAGAAGTGACCAATCCGGCTGCGAGAGAGTGAGATGGAGCCTGCTGAGGCGTACCCATCTCAAGTGAGGCGCATAAACGTGATGCGTGCCTCACCTCTTTGTGAAACAAAACTGGTTCCAGTTCCAACCAGCACCAGCCTGCCAATGTTTCCCTCACCGCACAACACCTCACAGGCCCTGGGCTGAGAGTGCGGCAGTGAAGAGAGTGCGGCTCCAAGCACGGTGCCAAATGGCCTCATGATCGTGTTTGCAAATATAACTACGTAGGTTATCACGTTCACTTGCCTGGCAGAGTAGCCAGGACCCGACCGTCATCTTGACAAAAACGGCAAAGCGATTCTCGACAAGTGGCCGCCGCAATTGACGCACCACAGGCAGCTGCTGGTGCGAGCGTGCCATAACTAATTTGCACTATTTCCAATCAAAAGCACACACACACATCGCTGCAACTTTCCAATGATGCAACAACTGCAACAGTGTAAATGTGTGCCGACTATGACGGTCACTGTTGTCCTGTGTGCTGTGCTCTCATTCGTAAATCATGTCAACTTGACTTTCGCTGGACTTGCTATGGACGTCGGCCGAAGATGCTTGCGATGTTGACCACAGTTTCTGCACTCTAATTTCAGATCATGCCCACATGAACCATGATCCAGCGAGCTGCTGTGTGGGGCTTCACGCAGGAGTGCATTGCATGTAGGTCTCAAACAAACTTTAAAGTTGCAATATTGGCCCGGGTTTAGGGTATGGAACCAGAACCGTTTAGTTCTCCAAGTTAGACATGCTATGCCTGAAACGAGAAAGCTGTGCGGACACTCTCTTTT